CTGCCTTTTGGCTCTTGAGCAGCCGTTCGGGTCTCTCGATACTTAGGACAATATTTGATGATATGCCCTGGGTCACCGCAGAAAATGCACTGGCCCCGGTTCAATCGTTTTGCCATAAAGCCTGGTCCAGACCCAAAGATTCCCACGGCCCACCCTAAGGTAGCCCTGGGTGCCATCCTCCTACTCTATAAGGAGACCTGTTCCTAGGACGGTTTTGCGGGGGACCTTGACCCCTACCTCCCGCTTGGAGGTTCCCTCCTCGGCCGCCAACCCCCTGATCGCCCTGGAACCGACTCCCTGAGGCCCGGCCCCCTTGGCCCTGGCCTCTTCCTCCTTGCGGCCTCCCTCCGGCCGCGACAGCAGCGTAGGATCTCCCCTGGCCCACACCGCTGTCCGCCTCCTTTAATCCCCACTCAATCTGGTCGTAGGGAATCTCATCCACACTACCCTCATCTAAAGTCAGGACAAGGCTATCCTTGGTCTTTACCTGCCCTGAGATAGTGCGGCCTTTCCATTGCTTTCCCTTGTCCAAATCCTTATGCCAAAAGGTGGACAGGGACACTGACTTCGCTTCAAAAGCCACCACCTCACAACTAAGGGAATCGTAAGTGGTGGCAGGGTCTTCGCTCTTCGCGAAGAACTGCCCTCGAAAGGCTTCGGGCATAGCCCGGTAAAAGAGGTTGACCAATTGACCCTCTGTGACCCCATGGTCAGGGACGGCCACCAACTCATCCATTGTACCCTTGAGTGCCCTGGCACTCTTCCATTTACGAGAATGGATGGTTTGGAGSTTGTCTGAGGCCTTGACACTGCGAGCGACATCATCAAATCGCTCGCGCAACAACTTCAGGAATTCGATGAGGGACGTAAATGAGGAGTACACAACGGGGTCATCACTACAGTTGGCAGCGCGAACTAGGGACCTTGCAAAACTGGCGGCCTCATCTCTCAGGGCGTGGATAGCAATTAGGACTTGCTGATCTGGGGAGACCTGTTGCAAGTGCACATAGGTCTTAACGTTGGCCTCCCAATTGTCAAAGTTTTCCTCCCTCTTCCCACTATAGGAATCGGGGAACTTGACTTTGACAGGCTCCCGGCGAGGAGGACGTGCTTCCTCCTCCTTGGGAGCTGCCGCCTTGATGCCTTCAATGGCGCCAGCGCAAAACCGCTCAGTCTTGTTGAGGCGGTGACCCACCTCGGCTCCAACGACGCCTACCACCTCACGAGCAAAGTCTCGAAAGCCCAACCGTATCGAGCGCACAGCTATGTCATGACTTCTGCTAAAGTCATATTGGTCTGCCTGAACCCGTGCCAGGCATGCGACGCTCCGAGCTATGACTCGCATCTGATTCGGGAGATTGGGCTGGGCGGCTAATTGCGCCTCTATGTTCTTCACTTCTTCTAAGGCCTCTGCCGCCTCCGCTGCCTTGTCAATTCTCCTCTTCTTCTCCCTCATCACCGCTAATTTCCATTCCATCCTCTTCTCGTCTTCCAACGCTTGACGCTTAAGAGGGTCTTTCTCTGCATCCCAAGCCTTCATGGCAGCTTCTTGCTGATCCTGCGGGATATACATACTAACCTCTTCCTCTTCTCCCACAGTCAGGTTGGCAACCCATTCAGATATCCTCTTCTCCAGGTCTCCACCGATACTACTACTGGGCTGCCCGCTACTCCTTTGCATTGGCGGACCGCCCTCTTCTTCATCCACCGCCTTCAATTTCTCTTCTTCTTCCTTCTTTAACCTCTCTTTCTCCCTGGCCATCTCTTCTTCCATCTTCTTCAATTTGGCCGCCTGCTCCTCCTTCAAGGCCTTCTTCTTGGCCTCCTTCTTCTCCTTTCTCTCCTGCAGGATGGTGGCCATCTTCTCCTCCTCCTCCTTCATGTATGGTTGGGTGGCGGTACCACCTCGAGTGGGCCCTACTCTACACGCAAAGGTATGCCAAAATCCCAGAGGAAAGAGGAGACGCCAGAGGGTCCCCCAGAGGGAGAACCCAACCAGCAACCCATACATCGGGTAGTCATCCATCGTGGTGTTGGTGCACGACAAGGGTCCCACTCCTCACCACGTAGCCCTACCCGGACACACTAACCTACTGACTGACTTCCTAAGGACCACAGGATAAGACCCTGTCAACTATGGCCACTACTAACCCAAGACTACTCTAAGGCTGTCACTACTGAACCCAAAGCTGATCTGGAGGCATTTAAGGAGATCCCCCGTAACTCCTAAGAATTCTTTAACGTCGCAGACAGGACGACGTGATCAGCTTGGTTCTTCCTGGCGATTTCAGCCCACAACTCAGCCGTTCCAGCCTACTGTGCCACACCGAGCAGCCCGCCGGTCTGTACCGGTCCTTGGAGGGGTTCGTATCCCTCGGGACAGTCGAGTCGTCAGACACAGATCATCATCTGTAGTAGGTCCGGTAGGGGAGTGGCTCAACCAGGCCTCAACACTTAAAGACGACCCTCGTTTCAGCCTACAGCCCGGAGTTCAGACCCTCTACACTGAACTCAGTAGACCTGGCGGACAGTACCGGTCATTGGGCTAGACGAGTTGTTTAACGAGCGCTCGCCGCTCATGCCCAGGTCTCCAAGTGCCACAGTAGAGCTTTGGTCCTACTAAGCCCGTGTAGGTTTGGCAGCAAGGCCCTATCCTTCATCCACAGAGTCCTAGCACCTACGACAGAAGAGACTCAATGCAGAAAGAGTAGACAGACAACTCAGCAAGTACCGTGGGGTAAGTGCACATCCACAGGGTAAGGGGATAGGCTGAGGGGTCAACGAGATATCACCAACTCCAGCTTGGTCAAAATCTTGGTCAACGGCCCCGATCAACGCCTTGGTCAACGCCGAGTCAACGCGGGCAACCCCCAGTCAACACTTGGTCAACACCCTCGGTTAACGCCTGGTCAACCCTTGGTCAAACCTCTGGTCAACGCTCCGGTCAACGCCCGGTCAACCCTTGGTCAACCCTTCACCTCGGCTATGGCTGCCGGCACCATCACCCTCGTCACCCTCGCCGTCTACTTCCCCTTCCTCACTTTCTTTCTCCTTCTCTATCTTTTTTTTTTTATTATTATTATTGTTGCATACCGTATAGGTGCAGACCAGAACAAGAACCGACCTTTCCATACAAGGTATAAGATAGCACAGCGGAAGGCTTAGATACCAGTGATCCGAACAATCAATGTTGTAGTGCAGCCCTGAACATACATCATCATCATCGTTTCATAGTGTGAATGGGTCTGGCGCTCCACACAGGAAGACAGCGCCAGCCCAGAACATGCACAGACGAGGAGGAAGGGGATAGACGAAGAGGAG